TAAGCAATGCCAAGATGCAATCAGTTTCATTAACAAAAGTTAAAATAAAGAACCACATGACAGTAAGTATTCTGCAGTGATTTAAGACTAAAAGGTTACAGCAGCGTCCAATCAGATAGGTTTCAGCACAAACATCATTCTGGGTGCTCTGCCAAGAGCATCCATTATTGCCAAATCCCTAATTCAAAGCCATATATAAGAACACTTTAACTCAAACACAAAAGTTAAAAATAAGACATTTAAATAGTAATCTTCCTTCTCCCTCAAAGATAAATGTGCCCATTAACCTCAGATACTAACAGGGAGATTTCTTTCTCTTATATTCTAAATGACAATTTTTTTTCCCCCCGAAGCCGTTCACAAGATAACCCATATATAAAAAAAAAAAGAAAGAAAAGAAAAAAAGTCAGGAGGTTAGCTCCTAAACAGCTGCTTCAATGAATTGAAGTGTGATCAGGTTCGTAATTTTTAAGTAGAAATATTAAAAACACATATTCAACTGTGTAAGCACATGGTAAAAAGAGGTAGTTGGATACGGCGAATCTTCTTGTAACTTTATCATCTAGTTAGGGCAGCAAGAAGAGACAAACAGGAAATGAAATGTTTCAATAACATTTCCAGACAGTGGAAGAGATGTCATAAAACAGAGCGAAGCCCTTTGTCAGGAAGACTGTTGGTGGCTCTATCTACGGCAGGGTTTCAAAGAGAAAAAAGTCAGCAAGGAAGGTCTGAAGAATGTTTAGAGAAGGTAGGACCCCATCCTGAAAGATGAACAGAAATGGATGGATGGTCAAAGACCATATACCGAAAGTCTAAGAAAGGCTGGTTTAAAAGCCAGGTGTGGTTTGGGGAGATGGCTAGTACAGGAAGCACTTGCTGTGTGAGCATGAGGACCTGAGTCTGCAACTTCTTAAAAAAAATCTAGGTATGGTGGAACATGCCTGTAACCCCTGACAGGGGCAGGGGAGTGGAGACAGGGGCGGGGGAAATCTAGGAGATTTGCTGATATAACCGCCAATATAACTGAAGTGGCTGAGCTCCAGGTTCAGCAAGAGCCTCCAATACAAAGCAAACAGTGGAGAGTGGTGAAGGAATCCATCTCACATTACTTTTGGCTTAACACACACACACACACAGGCATCTGTGAGTGCACACATGCACACACACACATACACACAGCTTCGAAGGGCCAGGCACGGGGGCACATCCCTATCATCCTAGAACTCGGCAATCTCTGGCAGCAGGATTTAGAGTTGGAGGCCAACCCGAGCAACACAGCAATTTCCACATAAAACCCTGTCTCAAAGCAATAACAACACGTAAGGGGGAAAGTGCTGGCTTAAAGATAGTCTTTGGCAGAGATTACAGAGGGGAAGGGAGGAAGGGAGGGACGTGGGGGAGGATGCTCTCGGGTGCTCAGGCCTGAGGGAGATAGTACAGGTGAAAGGAGAACACAAGAGAACAGCAGCCCAAAGAGCAACAACCCAAGTGTCTATCAGTGGACGCATCCATAAACAAAATGTGTCGTGTTTGCAACAGGATGCGCTTCAGGCTGCAGAACAGAGAGCAATCTGACACGGGCTGTAACACAGATGAATCCTGAAGGCTAAAGCTACGTAGAAAAGCCCGTCACAAGAAAATTCTGATTCCATTTTACATAATGGGTGATATCCGGAGTAGCCAAATTGATACAGAAATCAGAGTGGCTGCTGCCAGGGACCAGGGAGGAGCTAAAGGGAGTTACCGAGGGATGGAGAGTGACAGCTTGGAAACCGTTCATTTTATTCTGGAGGTGGCTGGAGCAACGGGTGCACAAGAGGACTAAGGTCAGTACCACTGAGCTTAAAGATAGTGAAGATGACAAACACTGTATGACATATGCCCCAGAGGTTTCTTGTTCCTGTGTTGTTGTTTTTCAACTGGAAGGAATGACAGCAAGTAAGATGTAGACCTGGCTTTACATGGAACACAGTGCACAAGAGTGGAGATTTGGCAGCTGATGAGCAAAAAGTAAGGGCAATGTTTTCTATATAAGGCTCTAGGCTGGAACTCCTTAGGCTCCACAAAGTAATTCTCTTCTTGCGGTGGTTTGACTAGGTGTGGTCTCCACAGACTCTTGGCTCATGGTAGTGGCACTATTAGGAGGTGTGGTCTTGTTGGAGGAAGTGTGTCACTGTGGAGGCGGGCTTAGAGGTCTCCTATGCTCAAGCTCTGCCCAGTGTGGCACACGGTCTCCTTCTACCTGTAGATCAAGATGTAGAACTCTTGGTTGCTTCTCCAGCACCACATCTGCCCACAAGCTGCCATGTTTTCCACCATGAGGATAATGGACTAAACCTCTGAAACTATAAGCCAGCCCCAATTAGATGTTTTCTTTTTAAGAGTTACTGTGGTCATGTGTCTCTCCACAGCAACGAAACCCTAAGACACTTATTTAGTCATGGGTAGATAATGCCTTTTTCCTTGACCAACTAAAGGACCTCTCTTCCCAGTTTCCTATGAAAATATGTAACTCAATTTAATCAAAGACAAGAACTTTTAAAAGTCTTCAACCTTCATAAGCGCTAGGCTTCTACAGTGATTTGGCTCTGACGAATGACAGTTATCAAGAGCAGACAATGTCAAATGCAGGTGCACGGCTCAGGTGCCTGAAGCCCACTTATTCAGTTTGATAAAGAGGATGGGTAAAAGGGGCTTCATCAATCTCACAGTGTGGCATCTGGAAATCAACCTCTGATGCCGAAGCCGGTAGCGTCAAGAGTCCAACGTGTGTCTGGTCCACGTATAGGTCTGTAACTCCATCCATAGGTTCGAAAGAGCACTAGAATCCTGGAGCAGCTCTCACTTACGCCAATGTGATATCTTCCCCTTGTAAATGTCACCAGGCCACAAAGTCCTAGGGCCTGGGGATATTTTGCCTGTACCTCTGCAGCTAATCACCTACAAATCTAATCGCTGCAGTTGCCAGTGTGCACAATTCTCCTCACCTGACTTCCATCCTTCCACTGAGCCTGAGGCAGGCCGGCCTGCTAATTACAAAAGCTACCATTTTTAGAGCAGCCTTCCTGTTTCTTAAAAACAAAACAAAACAAAAAAAGCTGCAATTGATAAAGCCTGTCTACTACTAAAAGCTAGAACATCTTTCCCCTGAATTCCTTGGACACTTTTGCAAGGATTTATCACTCCCTGCCCCTCAACCCTGTCTTAGACAGCGATTTGCTGTGTATCCCTGGCTGTCCTGGAACTCACTCTATAGACCAGGCTGTCCTCAGAGATCTGCCTGCCTCTGCCTCTGGAGGGCTGGGATTAAAGGTGTGCACAAGAAAACTTTTACTCTCTATCTAATTTAGGGTAGACCTGAATGGATCTTAGCCCTACCTTCAACGCCCCTCCCCAAGTGGTGGGATTATAAATCTGCCTCTTCATTTGGCTTCATCCTAAATACTTTCAATCCTCTGTTACAGACATTGGGAGATAGTTATCGCTAGCACATTAAGAACTTCAGATCACTGGACACAGGAGTCTTTTTATTAATGAAAGTTTTCTGTTTTTACTTGTCTTATTTTGCTTCAGAAACTTGGCTAACAAGTTAGATCATTTTCATTGCTAGGTCTTGGTCTTTAAGGATGTGCAAAAAGAGGAGGGAGGATGTATAAAATGCCAGGAAGACAGTTCCTATCATTTCACTCTTTCGCCTTTTTAAGTAGTCCTTCCAGCAGCAGAGTGAAAGATAGTTTCCACATTGTCATTTATTAGCCATGACAGGCAGCCACAGTGGCTCTCAGATACCGTTTCCCATCACCACAATTATCCAGAAATGCCTGCGAGGCAAAAGAGTGCTCAGAACGCCCTCCTTCTGGATGGCTTTTCCCAAAGGCAACAGTTCAAAGCAACCCTCTATCAGCTGGAGCCTTGACATCTGCAGAATCCTCTGGACAGGATGATTCTGCTCCTCTCGGAGTGATGGCAGAAACTAAGGCATAATTACCTACAATCCAATCACCAGGAATCCAGGCTCGGCCTGGGTTCAGAGGTAGAGGCTGGTGGCTACCCACATCACCTCACAAACAAATCCAACCACAGGCCTGTCACTACCTTCCCTCCAAAAGGCAAAGAAAAATGTGCTCTTTAACTACAACTCAATGTAACAAGCTGAGATAAAAACACAGTGTCAAAATTAAGTGACTTATTAGCCCGTAGACCTATCTGCACAAAAATTACTCTGTGCTAACAAGGCTTACAACTTGTAACGTGTAACCGCAGAAAATTGGAATGTGTTTTCTCTCTTTGTCTCTTCTCTCATTTCTTTCTTCTATGCTCCTTTTGTCAAATTTTGGAACAAACTAGGGGCAAGGGGTTTGGGGAAGAGGAATAAATTGGGGGTGGGGGAGAAGAGGGTCATGAGAATACAGAGTGGAAGGGCTTGGGGCCAGAAGTATGATGGGGTGGAGTATCCTGAGGCCTATCAGACTAGCCAGAGACAGACCTGTCAACCAGACGGGCAGAGGCAGGCATGGAATTGGGGTGGCCACAGAGTGTTTTCCTACCACTGAAATCCAGCCACAGAGAAGCACCACAGGCCAGGGAGATGGCTCAGTTGGTGAAAAATACTTGCTCAAGCTTGGGTTCAATCCCTCAAACTCATGCAAAAAGCTGGGTGTGAGAGCATGCACTTTGTGGAGCGATGGCAAATACAAGAGAAACTCCTGCCTTGGAACAAGGCGAAAAGAAAGAACTGATGGCCAAAACGTTGTTCTCTGGCTTCTACACACTGTGGTGTGCTGCACAGTGCCTCCCCCTCACCCTGCCCCAATTTTAAAAGACTACAGTGTTAGAGGACAAAAGTCCCAAGAACACGGCATTAACACTTCCAATATTCTCTGAGACAAACCTATGTAACATGCTTTGCAGACAGCACGGAAACAACACGAGCAGAGAGCTGAGCATACATAGTAAGACAACAGTGAGCATGTTTGGTGCTAGTAGATTTTAATAAAATTTTAATAATATTGGGAAAGAGCCAAATTACAAAAATGTTCAGGAATAGAGTTAAAAAAAAAAATCTCAAGAGATGAACTAGAAAACCATGAGAGAAAAAAAAAAGAGCACCCCAAAAAAGGTAATAATCTCGGATAAAGAAAACATTTTATCAAAGGCACTGAATGTGTCTAACAGAGGTTAAGTGAAGTTAAAAGCAGAGTACACAGCGAAGTGTTCCCCAACTACACCATCAGAAGATGCTGCCTGTGCGGGTGAAGGCACAAACGAGGTGCAACTGCCGCCTCCAGGCAGGCAGGATTTCCCACGAATCTCTTACAGGACAGGAATGAATGTACTCTCTGGTTGCCGGGTGCCCTTGGAAATGAACCGTGTTGGCACGTGGAGCAGGGGCGGCATGTTTCCGCACAGCAGGAGGAACGGGGTTCCGGGATGCCGCTCGTCATCCATACGTACAGCCCCAGCTGTCACCACACGGGGCGCGGTCTACCGGGAGTGATGAGCCGCGTCCTCTAGGATCCACTTATTACTTGGGTAGATTTAACGGTGCCGTGTGACCAACAAACCAAGGATAAGAAGCTGGAACCACAGGGGTCCCTTCCCTCCACAGGGACGGAAAGCCACTGCTGTGCGTGGGAGCGGAGTGGGAACCGAGGGGATGGTCCTGGTTCCGTTGTGCTGATCTCCTGCCAGGACAAATGGCACCCTCAGCCTTCCCCCCACAAGTCGTCTGCGGCCAATCTGTCAGCACCACCATCGTTTTGGTCCTATTTGTTTTTCCAAGGGTATGCTTCATTTGGGCCAGATTTTCCCATCAGTGTGTCTGCTCACTGCTAAAAACTCAAGAAGCAATTATTCGTATGTCCTTCCAGCCCACGAAGCAGTGAGGAGCGGCTGTCGGGATTCGGTGGATGACAGAGGGCTGACATTCTTCTGTGGAGCTGCCCTCACCGTGGGCACACAAGCTCTGCGGAAGGTGGAGAGACCTTTCACCCCAGCTCCCACGGGCAGGCCCTCGGTTTCCAAGTCAAACCAAATCAATAGCTTAAACCGATGTAGATCATGAGGTGGCAGGAACGGCAGAGAAGGTGCGGAGTTTTACAGACCTTAGCTAGGTACGTGTGCTAGGCTGGCTATTAAACAGCTGCGAGTGGCTTCAAGACAAAAGGCACCAGCGGCTTCTTGGGGGTGGGGGTGGGGATCTCATCTGGGGAGTTAACAAGATGGGCCTCACTGGGGCTTCTGACTCGGTTGGCTATTGATGGAGTCAAAGTCGATGACAATCTTGCTGTACTTTGGTGTGAATTTTCTAAACACGAAAAACAACATAGGTGAAGGAATTATCCGATAGGTAGTTAGAGCAACTTGTTTATTTCAGCTTAAACTGTATTTCCAGTGCAGAAAGGAAAATAATGCCCTGGGATTTGCTTGATATTTTATCTCTCCGGGAGCCAATTATAGTGCCCCATACTGGGAGGAACACAGAGCGGGAAAGACTAAGACAAGAGCGGCACACGGGGGGCTCGGCTTGTGTGTTCTTCAACTACCCGAGTTCATGAATTATCAGGGAGTCAAAGGATTTCTATCCAGTTAGCCGCGCAACATGAGATCCAACTACAACTTCCCCGTCATATTTATCTTATTTTCTGGGAAATTTCTGCAGCCAACTTGAGTTGCTCTGAAGCAAGCAGTACATTTTCTTTTGCATCGGACACACGGAAAGAAAACTCGATGAAGTGAGGTTTTTCTTTCTTTTTTTTTTTTAAATAAAGTTCTACCTATGCAAATAAGGCCTCTAAATCTTTATATTCAACACTTCTATAAGAACTGAAGGTACTTGGGGACTTTTTAAAACAAGACAGCATGTCAGCATCCTTCCTCTGTAGTCTCTGCTTCAGTTCCTGCCTCCAGGTTTTGCCTTGACTTCCTGCCCTGACCTTCCACACATGCAAAAATCTTATTTCTAACTGAGCACGGTGGGTGCTGTTATTTGGCAGAATGAGGCAGGAGGCAACCTGGGCTACACAGCAAGCTCAGGAGAAACCTGTTCATACAGAGACTGTCTCGGGAAACAAACAAAATATGTCCCATCTCTCACTAAGAGCCCAGTGAATGGGGCAAGCTGCTCATCGTACAAGTCTCCTCCACTTCTGGCCAAAAACACAGCAACACTTTGCAAAGCTTCTCACTCTAAAAGCAATTTTCTGCCATTCATAAAAGGTGGCAAAGCTTACAAGTAAAACATAATCTTCACTCTGCAAAGACAATCATAGAAATCGGAGGGGCTTCTGCTCTTAATTCAAAAAGTTGCTCGGAGAAGAATTCCTGGTGTCTCACCCTGGTGGGCGGCCTGTTTTCATCCTAAACTATCCCTGTCAGAGCCCTTACACATGCAAAATTTAAAGGCTCAGCAGTACCAGCCCAAAAGTTGTAAATTTTTAAATTTCTTGCTACTTGCATGATTAGCCTAAGCCTTGGGAAGTCACTAATATTAAAACACAATCTTAAACCAGCTGTCTCCAGACACTTCTGTCAGTACTCCACACCTACAGAGACCTTCAGAGCCTTGTGCCTTCACCCTTCCCAAGACACTGCCATGTGTCCTGGGAAAGGCACAGCTCAAGGGATACACTAGACCTCAAGCTAGGCCACGTACATTTCCACACCAGTCCGCCCCTCCCGCCCCCGACCTACCTGAACGTAACCCCAGCCAGTTTGAACATGAGCCTGGCGGCCGTGGTCTCTTCACTGTCATGGTATTTATCCGACATAAAAATGACTTCTTTTATACCTGCAGAGGTAACGGTGAGAGATAAGCAGAGACAGAAAAGTGCGAACGACAGGCAGTGAGACGGAGCTCTGTGCCTATGATTAATTACCTTTCTTTGAGTGGGCTTGCAGACAATGTCCAGTTACTAAAATACTCATCTGCAGTCTCCCAGTACGGCAGAGGGGACTGTATTGAATCTGCCCTCCAGTTTTTATGCATAAAAAAAAAAATACAAATTCAAAGGGAAAATGTATCAAGCTTTGATCCAGTTAACAAATTTTCTTTCCTTCTGGTAAGCAAGTATTCTTTGTCCACAGAGCAACTACTCAACTCAAGAGGGTAATGTGGGGAGGAGCACGCTGGCTGGACCTCCACGAGCTGCCGTCACGTTAGCCTGGCTCTGCAGAGGGCAGCTGTCTCACCGCCACACTGAGAGCCAGCCGTCCCAAGGGCCTTCTCCTGAGGGCGGCTCTGTACCCACCTCAGGACGGATGAGCCAGCTGACCAGAGCCCACACACCGCTCTGTGCACGTGCCTGCGGCCAAGCTCTTCTCCTGCAACCAGCCACGGAAGCACCCCAAAAGTATAGGTTAACGGCAGCAGCTGCACGGGCAACCATGCTGTCCTTTAAAGGTGGCTGTTATCAGCCGACTTCCGCTCTGACAGCCAGCAAGCAGCTCATGAGAAACAGTCCCTTTAACCCACACATCTGGCTAGAAACTCGAAAAGTCTTTAAATCTCAAACCGAGAGCTTTATGGAGATAAAGCGCAGCTCACTCTTAGATGTGACAGTTCAAAACCAGGTGCGATATACAGAACACAGCGTTGTAGGTTATGGCAGATGTGACATAATAAGAGAAAAGCTCAGAGTAACATTCCAGTCTCATGATATTTATATGCAAAGATATGCTTAGATCCTCAAATATCTACCATGTATTAGATACAAATTAAAATTTGATATACAGACTCCCAGCTGACCTTGCTTCTGACAGAAGTTCATTTCCCTCCCTCCCCCCTAATCTATGCACAATATGTCAGAGAATGGTAAATTGACAGTAATTATATGCAATGCCTGTGTTGTTTTTTTGGCAGCTTGCAGTTTCAGAAGTTGCAAACTAAATTAAAAACATGCTAAGAATCACAGAGGACGCAATTAGTCTTAGAATACCTGGCACCACTCAAAAACAAAACACGGGAAATAGCTTGCAAAGTTGATAGTGCAATTAATTTAGATCTAAGCAATAACAATATAAGATCAAACACACCTGCACGGAGCTGCTGATGAGCAGGCTCCAGTGCAAATGTGAGAAGTAGAAAGGCCCGGTTCCTACCTGCCTGGATGATGAGCTTAGCACATTCATTACACGGGAACAGGGCGACGTACATACTGCAGCCCTTCACGTCAGCCGAGTTCTTGTTCATGATGGCGTTCAGTTCCGCATGGCACACTGGGAAAGAGAGAGAAGGGCTGAGGCTGCAGCAAGGGTAACTAAGTAATTCTGTTGCCACCTTGGAAATAGCATGGAACAGACTCAATAAAAATAAATTGATTAGAAACAGCAACACCAGGACTACCAAATAATGGCCTCGTGGTCTGTCTGGGTGGCAACTAGCAGGGCAGGGAAGCTGCTTCCGCAGCTGGCCTTGGTTTCTCAGCACCTAGAGCAGCCAGGAAGGGCTGAGGTCAAGTATCTTCCCCCACCAGAGCGGAGCAATACCTCACGGCTCCACAAGGCCCTGGAGTACTGAACTGCCCACATAAAATGGCTCATTTGTGTGTTGATCTGCACCCACAGGGATACTGAGCGTAGCTGTTAGAGGGCAGGGGGCAAAAGAACACAAGAACGAGACGTGAAGCCGAGAATTTCTATCCTGGCGGATCTGCTTCCCCTCGTCATGCTCAGCCCACAAGAAACTAGAATAAAATTTAAAAAGGCAGTGGGTAGCAGCTATTTATCTATTTTAAAAACATACTCATCCACTTGAGGGCAAGGAACACTCAAGTTCTCCGCACACAGAGCCATCCCACCAGTGATTCCAGAGGCCCATGCAGGCCTCCTTTCTCTCCCTGTCTACCAAAGTTGACCCAGTTCCTAGCCCCTTTCAGCTAGCTACTGTTACTCCCTGGCCACAGGGGTGAAATAAAGAAAACTCCCGCACTCAAATAGTTCTAAATCCCTGGGCCCGCCTTGCGCCTTGAAGGCTTTCCACAAGGCCATCACTGAAAGTTCTGGGTGTGTCACCTACAACCATCTTGCGCACTCCCTATGACAATTCCTTATAACCTTTATCCCCAGAGGAGCTTCCTCTGTTCTCTACTTGGGGATTGATGGTCTACACTTGGGCACTTTTAAGAGAATTCCCAGATGACTCAAAATTTGGGAAGCCTTGCCTTACGGAATTCCCTGAAATCTCCGATATACACGGCGCACACAAATGCTAACACAAGCAACTGTAGAGTGAGCAGAATCGCTGACCATGGCCCAAATCATACATAACTCCCAGAAAACAAATAAGGGTCCCTTCAAGAATCTCCTCTTCCTGCCATCTCCAGCCACCAGCATTCCACATCCAACACTTTGTGGTCACACAGTTAGGCACATCTATTAAGAATCTATTCAGGGTTAGAAAGACGGACCGGACCCTGGTCTTGCATGGAATAGCACTACCTGTGCCGGACAGTGTTTTACCAGAAAGCTAAGCTCTCTCTGGAAATGTTTGTGCATACTTGTAACTTCCATGAATTAAAAGTTCTCAGCCAGCCGGGTAGTGGTGGCGCATGCCTTTGATCCTAGCACTTGGGAAGCAGGGGCAGGTTGATCTATGTGAGTTCAAGGCCAGCCTGGTCTACAGCTCGAACTCCAAGACAGCCAAGATTTCATAGAGAAACCCTGTCTCGAAAGGAGAGAGAGAGAGAGATATCTCAGTCATGAGTGAAAAACAAAGTAATCCCTAGTTAAAGAAACAATCTGTGATTCATCAAATCACAGACCATTAGAGAGCTTGAGTCCTGTCCCCCAAGCCTCACTCCTGGTAAAAAGCCATGGGAAGACAGAGAAAGAGCAGAGCTCGGAAAGGGTTGGCGTGGCCACACGGCCAGTGGAATCCAAGAGGTATCCATGGCCCTTCTCCCCTGGTAACCGAGATGACAGGATGCCAGCATTAACACTGCTCCGTGTTAAAAACAATTAGATGTAATTGTTTCCTTTATGTCCCTCTTGGGGACAGAGCCAAGCCCTTTCTAAGTTCTTTGTAGCTCCCCCCAGAGTCTAATGCCATGCCAGGAGCATAATGGTGTTAAATATTTATTGAATAAATAAAGGAGAAAGTGCAGATCCCAATTATTGACGGTGACGTTGGGAAAGAGCAAAAGTTCTCTTCGTTCGGATATCAAAAATGGGCTTTCCCATCTGAGAAGTGTTCTGCGATGGGGCCAGAGTTCACACCCAGATGCGAAGGTTCCAATCTCCTACCACACAGCATCATGCTGTCCTCCTCTGTAAAAGTTGTCACAGCAACTACAACTACCTTTGTCTAACACTCCTGAGGCAGCCTGGAACACAGTTCATCATTATAAGTTGAGGCTCACTAGCGAAAAACCACCCCAAGAAACAGATCATCTTGGATAACATCTGACATGGCAGGAAACGGGTGGTTTCCAGAAATAAGATACACAGGATTCTAAATAGACATCCTTTATCATATCAAAAGTCACCGGATTAAAAGTGCAACGCTACGGATGAAGAGAAACACGCCGCTGTCAGAGACAGGCCAGCTCACAACCCAGGAGCCTATGTATTCAAAGTGAGATGATGAGATGAAAGCAAAACAAACAACAACAAAAACCCCACATGTTCTGAAGAGGGGTCGAAGACCTGACTCTCAGTGCTCTTGCCCAGTCCTGTACCCCTTGAACTTCAGAAACCACAATACGCTGTACCCCAGAACTCCTGCCCTACCAGGGCTAGCTGACTAATACTAGCCTTCTGGCCACACATAAGGGGTCCAGAGAATCCCCAAACCTGGGAGAACTTGGACCACTCACCTGGACCTACCCATCTCCCTCCCACCTCGAAGTTCCCTGTACTCCCTCTGTTGAAGGCCTCAACTCTGCCTCTGTGCCTTTCTGGCACTAACACTTGACTCTCAGGTAGGAGTCTCCACAGCCTCTGTATCACTGACACTACACACTGTGGTGGTTTGAATGAAAATGGCTCCCATAGGCCCATAGGGAAGTGGCACTATTAGGAGGTGTGGCCTTGTTGGTTAGGGGTGGCCTTGTTGGAGGAAGTGTGTCACTGTGGGGGCAGGCTTTGAGGTCTCCTATGTCCAAACTATACCTAGTGTGGCACACAGTCTCCTTCTGCTGCTTGCAGATCAAGAACTCTCAGCTCCTTCTCCAGCACCATGTCAGCCTGCATGCCGCTATGCTTCCTGCCATGATAATGGACTAAACCCTGAACTGTAAGCTGACCCCAATTAAGTATAACAGTTGCCATGGTTGTGATATTTCTTTGGAGCAATAAAACCCTAAATAAGGCACTGTTCTTCAGGAGGGACAACAGAACAACTTGATAATCACCCATTCACTCTGCTTGGTGCGCATCAGCGTAGAATGGTTGGGGCTTATCCACACACATCAAAAGCAGGTAACCCCTACAGCTGCTTCAAGCCAGAAAGCTTGCTGAGAATCCACAGGCCCAGCCTGTGCCTATCTTGTCCTGGCCCTGGAGAGTAAGGCTACGGTCCAAGTATCTCTCCGCCAACACTGAAGTCTTCCCAAGAGCAGAGAGACTTGAGAAGAGGCTTTCAACCAGTGCTCAAGGCCCAGCTCTTCATTAGAAAGCCTATGAGCTTTTGATAAGGGAAATTCTATTTGTACAATTAATACCAGCTCTAGGAAAGTGTATTTTGAACTAACGATAAAATAAATGCGGACTGGGAGACTGTTCGGTTGATAAAGTAAGGGTGCGAGTTCAGATTCCCCAGGACCCACATGAAAGCCTGACTCAGTGGTGCACACCTGTAATCTCAAGGGCAGGAGCAAGGGAGCTAAGCAGATTTCCAGAAGCGCTCTGGCCAGCTAGACTGGCCTGTGCAGCTGAGGTCCCAGTTGACGAGGTGGAAGGTGCCTTCACATGGATTCCTGAGGCTGCCCTCTTACCTTCACACGAGTCATAACCCACACCTGCACACGTGTGCGCAAACACACACACACACACACTGGGGGGGGAGGGGCAAAGGGAAAAGAGAGATTAACAATGGTAAAAACAATTTTTTAAGTATCAAGTACGCCGACTTTTGGCTTTTTCCTAACGTTCTGATTCATTCCCCGGTCCTCCAGGACAAGCTGGCACTGAAAAAGTCAGGGGCTCCTCTCCTGGCTAAGCACAAGGCTGCAGCCCTCACTCTGTGCTGAGTGGTGGCTTCCAACGACTCCAGTTCCTCCTCCCTTAGACACGTACACAGTCCTCATTCACTCAGCAGAGGTCAGATGCTCAGCACTTTAACTTTCTTTTCAAGAAGAAATCATTTCAACAACTGCTACTCTAATTTTAAAAATAACTGTCTCATTGTAATGCAGATATAACCTCTAGTTTTCTTCTATCCAATTTTTTTTGGGGGGTTAGGGCATATTAATTATACAGAATAATAGGTTTCACTGTGCCCTTTTCATACATGCATAGAACATTCTTTAGTCATATCTATTCCCTGTATTACCCACCCCGGCTGCTCCTCTCTCCTCCCCTCCCCTCTCCCTGATCTGAGTCCCAGTCTCGCACCCTCCATTCTCTCTCATGCCCATCCCCTCTGTGTGTGTCTGTGTGTCTCCCTCTCTGTGTTATTTTGGTTTTTGCTATATAGTCCTAGCTGGACTGGCATGTAGCCTGAACTGGTCTTAACATCATGGCAATCCTTTCTTCAGCCTGAGTCCTACGATTACAGGAATGCACTACCAAACCCAGAGGGCCACAAAATCAGTTAAATGAAATAGAACCAGGTTTTGCCTTCTTGTTTGCCTGCTTGCCTGGTGGTATGGGGTTATCTACCACCTGAACCAAACCTCACAGCACACCTGTGTCTCAAAAGCAACCATGGCTAGTTCTGTCCGGCAGCTTCACGTGGAGACTTTATACCTGAACAAGAACAGGACAAAGAGTTTAAGATGCACAATGCTTAAGAAGTATTCATAAGGCAGTCCATATTGTAAAAAAAAAAGGTGAATTTTCCTAGTATTAACTAAATATCCCTATCTACAGCTAAGCAAGAACTAAAAGTCATCCCCAAATGACACAGATATCCAATAAGCACAGAAGTGACACAAACCCTTTAATTATCCCCAACATCATGCAAAAAGAGTTAAGTGCTGAAAACACCAGATTAATGTGTATAAAGTGTGGCAGTCAGAATAGGGCCTGTTTCAGGTGATTGTAAGGCAATTCATACG